TTGAAAGAGGAACCTAAGGCAGTACCAACCAGACCTTTCTCTTTTCTAAGCTGTGGCAGTTAGCAAAGGAGAAGTAGGCAGGTCACTGACACTCCTTCCATGTGCAATAGCTAAAATCTCCTTGGATGCAAATTTCACTTGTCCACAATAATCTCAAGTGCTGGTTGGAAGTGAGTTGAACCAGAAATAGAATGTAAAAATAGGAATGAGGCAGTCCATCTGCTGAAAATTATATCTATTCTCCAGTGATGTAACTCAGATGGAAGAATTTGCTTCTTCTTTTTCTCTCACACATTTAACTTTTGACTCTGCTGTTCTGTTTGGTTGCATTCTGTTCTGTTCAAGGAATGCAAATACCTTCTTCTTTCTGGAAATACAGGCTTCACAAGGCCCTACGGAACTTGCCCGGCTTATCTCCCTTTTTTTTTTTTTTTTTTTTTCCTTTTAAACAGCCAATTTTTGTTGTCTTCTCTGAGTGAAAGCACGAGCCGGTGCCTGGCATGGCTCCCGCTCAGTCTCAGCAAGCTTTGGGCTCCAAAAACCCAGATTTTAATATGAATATCGGTCAAGTACGCCTGCACTGGAAAAGCCTGGAGGCAGGGCATATGGGTCTTAAAGCACTAAAAAAAAAAAACCCACCTAACTTAAAATATGGGAGACAGACTTTCTGCGTAGCCCCGATACCCACATGAAAGCAGAAGCTGGTTTCTGCCGTACCAGACATGATAGGATTTTCCCAGTGTGCGAGCGCGACGCCTCACGCGCTGGGATTTTCGGCGTGCCGACAAGCTGCTACGCGCCAGTTCTACCTATGCGATACAGTCCACAGGTCTGCAGCACAGAAATAACAAAATAAAATAAATGAGCCGCAGCGGCTGAGCCCTCGGTGCCAAATGGCTCTGCTTCCTTTTGTCTTGCCTGCGTTTGCCAGGCACAGAAGGGACAGCGATGCACGCCGTGAGGACGCGGCTCCTGGGCTTGGCCCTCCAGGGCGGAAAGAGGGATCTGTGGGCAAGAAAATAGCCGGTTTGGGGGTCTCCCGATAAGACTGCCCAGTCTGGCGGAGTCGGGGGTGAAAACCCCCACAGCCCAGCTGGGCGCGGGCATCCCGCAAGAGCTGCCGCAGCGCGGGGGCACTGGCATGGTTTCGTGCTTGGGTGTTTTCAGGGCAGCAGAAGCAGCTGCTTCAGTTCCCTCTCTGGGGCTTCGACTTGGGCAGGAAAGAGGTGGGATGCAGCCGTGGATACGTTTTTTGGAGGGGGGTGCATCTGCTGTGAGCAGCGGGTCTAGACCTCCCGTTCGGGCATTAGCTGGGCATGAGAGACACCCAGAGAGAGACCGTGATGACAGGATTGAGCTTGAGGGGTGTGGGTTGGCTGGTTGAAGGGTTTTATTTTCCTGTTGAATACTGGCACTTGGCTGGGTCCAAAGTTCCAGCTTTCAACCTGCAGATGGTCTTTATAAAATAAATTCTAGAAAGAACAGACAAGGAATTGCAACTGCTCCCTGACCAATGCTGTTGTTTGAAAGGGCCTGGCCTCTGTTTGCAAGCGTGAGGCTTTGCAGGATCTGCAACGTATTCGATACCTCCTGCATTTTTTGAGATGCACGTGAAAAAAAAATAAAATTGGGTTATGTGGAACGCTTCAGTTCTCAGTCCCCTTGATGTGTATGTGCCAGGCACAAAAGCAAAGTCCCTGGTTGTTTTCACGGGTTGCCAAAGCGCTTTAAGTTCAGACAGCATTTTTTACTGTATGTTCCCTCCATTTCAATCTTGCATAACTCGCCAGGAACAAAAGTACCGAATACCTTCTCAGCATTTCCATTTTAAAGACAACTGGTGTTAAACAGTTCCTGCGGCCTACAAACAAGAAATCAATGATAAATAAAATATTTTAATAGCATTCAGCTGACTTGCTTAAAGATTTATTGTTTTCCTCCCCGCAGAAGCGATACCAACTTCTGGATGAGGGAGACAGCGACACAGTTAACTGAAGCCCACCAGGCTTCAGAAGAAGAACAGCCCTGGGGGGAAACTTGTGCATAATTTCTTGATGACAGGGGGTAAAGTCACATTACTTGGTTTCTATTAGAGGTGCACAGCCTGGGACTGAGGCAACAGTACCTAGATCAGAAAGGAGCTGGAGAAAACCGTGGGAAATTAGGGGAAATAAAACTGGTGAGGAGTTTAGCTGACTGTATCTAAAGAAAATATTTATTTACAGGTGGGAAGCAAATTTTCATACAACCTACAAGGTCTAAAGAGAGATTTTATGCCTCCGTTTTAGATTTGGGACTATAATCAGCAGCTGTCAAGTCTAAGGCTGGTCTTCCCTGATTCAAGGGATGAGGCCAAAGCAGCCCGAAGGGCTTCACAGCCTGGCAGCCGAGTTCTGCCGCGGGAAGGCAGCCAGCGGTTGCCTATTTTCGACTATTTGCCGCTCTCCCAAAGAAACCATCGGGCGAGCGCAGATCTCCTCCCTGCGGTTCATACTCCAGGCTTTCCTGGTACCGGCTGGTGCGCAACCTCAGGGACCCCGGGGCACCGCCCCACACCGATAAAAATAAATCCTCTGATCCCCTTCCTTTCAGCTTAAAGTTCCCAATAAAAAAATCTCGGACTCTCGGAGCAGCTGCTTTGTCTTCTTGATCCAGTGAACGGAAAGAAATGGCTTTAGGGAGAAGAATGGCAGGGAGGGGCCCAC